TGCTCACTAGTTGCTGCACCAGGAACAGACACCACTCCCATGTTTCCCTTTCACAACAGAGTAGAAGCCCAATTTGCTTCTATGTACTATCCTCAAGGGCCTACACACACACACACACACACACACACACACACACACACACACGAACCTCTGGTAGACCTGTATAAATAACAGACCAAGTCAGCTGCTTACTGCAGAAGCCCTCCTTGTCTGACCAGAATGTCTCATCCAAGCTGCATTTTTTTCTTGTTTTTCCCCCTACCTGTTTCCTTTATTCTCCCCCCACACACACACCTACACTCTGTCCCTTTAAGATATGCACTGCCTCACTGAGTAAGTTGCTTTGCATGCCAATGCAGCTGTGAAAATATGTATACCCACCCAAGCTACAGTTTTTTCCATTATTTTATCCATGTGCCTACAGAACAGAGACCTTTGAGTCTGCATTTCCATAAAAGAATTTAGCATCCTCATCCAAACCACATCAATTTTTTCTTTTATTTTCTCTATTTTCCTGATTTTTTTCTTTTTCTTATCCTTCTCCCTCTTCCTTTCTTCAGAAAAAAAAATTGAAAAAAGGAACATAAGATCTAAACTGTACGACCAGTTTGACCCCCTGCATATACACAGAACACTCCATGCAGCAATGAAATGATATATATTCTTTTCCAGTGTCCATGTACTCTACAAGCATGTTAAGTCACATAACAAATCACAATACTATAAAAATAGAAATGAACAATAGAAAGGACAAGAATATAAACTCAAACATATGGAGATTGCAAAATATATTATTGAACTAGGCAACAACATAAACCCACCAGCAACAGTCGAAAAGAAACCCTAAAGATTAGAGTAGAATAAACTAACAGAAAAACAATGATAAAATAGCAAGAAAATAAGTTCATTTATTGAAAGGATTAACAAAATTGACAACTACTGGCAAACTTAAGGGAAAGAAAGACGAGTCAAACACTTAGTACTAAGATGAAAAGGGTGACATAACAACAGATCCAAATGAGAAAACTAATTACCAACTTCATATGGAGAGATAAAAGACGAGGATGAGCAAATTAATTTCTCAAGAAGAAAACAGATCTCCTCAACAACTACCAGAAAAGGTCACCAGGGAAGTATATCCTGCACTTCCTGGCAGCAAGCATCTCAATATAAAAGTAGACCCAAGTTCTTGAAATGGGAGAGAAGCAATGCTTGTTAACCACTGACAAGAGGCATGAGCCTCTTCTGTGAGCCCTACTCCTCCTGGAGCATAGCTGATTTTTCCAGGTCCCTGAGGCAATGCAAACAGCCAAACCTCTTATATCACTGCCCTCTGTTGGAAAGTTCTGTATGGGCAGCTTGGAGCAGAGATAATCATAGCCAAGCTTAACTTTTCCTTTTTTCTTCCTTCTCCCCTTCTAACTTCTTTCTTGCATTAAGCTCTGGTGCCCTTCTGCACCACTTGCTCAACCTCCCCTACAAAGCACATGTGTTTACTAAATAACACTACCAAAAGAAAAGATTTCCAAACCATTAGGCAGTTTAATTTTCTACTTTATAATATTTGGGGGTGGGGAGTCTGTACTTTTGTTCTATTATAATACTCTCATATTCCAAGAGTTATCCACCACTCCCCCTTCCAGTGCCATCTTCAGGTGCAGCCTTATCCTCCAGAGAATACCCAAGGCAAAAACAAACAATCCTTTAGATACTTGCACACATATACAAACAAGGTTTTGTTTTGTTTTTTTTTTGCAAAGATATGCCCATATTCATGCCATAGAAACTGAAATTAGTACCCACACTAGGCCATACCCTGGTCTTGTGTCTGTTTTGTCCCTCCCCTCCTTACAACTCTAGCATTACCTCTTTTTTCTCTTTCTTTTTCCTCATGAAACATGAGTCAGTGGAACTTATTAATTCCAATTCCCCTCTTAAAATACATTTACCCATTATTTTTACAAATTTGTTGGTCTCTCTTGACAGCTGCTTATCATTATTTTTATTTTATTCTTCCACTTTTTCCCACCCCCTGCGCCCAGTCATCATCTTCCCAATTACCCACCTATGGTCGTTAGATGATTTTTATGTCAACTTGAAGATGTGTGAAAGTGTGTGGGTGGAGTCAATCTGTTAACCAGGTCAGACTGATGATGCCTCTTTGGAGCTGTGGCCATCTTATAAACGAAGAAAAGTGGAAACTTTTCTCTCTGAACCACCATCTTCCTGTTTGCTGTGACTCTAACACTGAATTCGAGAGCTGCCAGTGCCCTTCCATGCTTCCGCTGACCTTGAATCCACCAGCCTGTAATAGTCCTGTATTGTGCGTCAGTGTATGTAGTTATGCAAGTATTTAGAGGGACATGTAGACTAGTATCAGACTTATGGACATGAGATGGACTAGGCTGGAAGGCCTTCTTGATATATAATTATTTCATGATAGAAAGATTTTTTTCTTGTACATAGATGAATGTCACTGGATTTTTCTCTAGACAACCTGGCCTAACACATTATGGTACCAAGAATGGGTTGCTAGAGAAACAAATAATGAAAATGGAGAGGAGAGGCTTATAGTACCTCTGCCTTAAAGACATTGGATGAAATTGGATTTTTCTCCTTTGGATAGTCAGAGATCAGGGCCACTAAGTTTACTCAGTTGTCATCTAGAAGGGCATAGGGAGTCAAACTTTGGGTTCTTAGAAGCTGTCTTTAGTTATTCATATTTGAAATGGAGCAAATGAATGTAATGGATGTTCAATTGCAGCTCAGGGGACAAAATACCTTTTGGACTTTTCAGAGTCAAAAGCCCTGATGCTTAGTCAAAGCAGCTGACTGAATGCCTGGCCCTGGCTTGATCCTGCCAGAGGTCTAAGGGCATATTGCATATGAATGGGATAGTTCAATAAGAAAGGACTGAATTTTACTGTTTTAAGACTTGTATTTAGGAGTTGGTTATACTAGAATTACGCGGATCTCTTCTACCTACTGTTATTGATATAATTTGGGATAGAAACAAATATTGCGAATCATGATTAGAGTCTATAAGTGCACTGCCTTAAGTCATTACATTGGATCTGTTAAATGGCCTGCCTTGTTTTGACATTGCTTATAGATGCAGACACACAAGATTTCAACTGGAATAAAGATTCCTCAAATTAAAGATTATAATTGTCTCCTCAGAGTACTAGGTTGATAGAAATAGGCAGTGGATACCCCAAACAGGGAGAGATCATAGGGAGAAAGTGGCTGGCTTAAAAGCTTTCATAGGTGGGGGAAGATGCTGATGTGATTACATGATTCAGGTGTAAGTGTTAACACATCTGCAATTGTTCAGCATAGAATATTATAGTTTTATTTGCTTATAGAATATAAAATTTAAATGGGACTGATGCATTTTTCAGTTGTATACAAGTTAGTTGAATCCCATCAGGCCCAAACTTTATTTTGTTATTTACTTTGGTGATTATGTATGGTTAAAGTGCTGTTGAAATGTGTCAAGTTGACAAGGGGTGGTCTATGATAATTAGATGATTTTATGAGAACTTGAAAATGTATGAAAGTGTAGGGGGGAAACCCAATCTGCCTATCACTTCATAGACTGATGATGCCTCCTTGGGAGGGTGACTTTCTAATAAACGAAGGACTCTGAGTACCTGTCTCCCACTCTGCCCCCTCACTTCCTACTGGTTGGGACACTGTCACTGACCCTGAGAGCTGCAGGTGCCCTACCATGTCCCCACCAACCTTGGAAGTACACAACTCTGCACTGACCAGCCTGTGATCTTCTGGTATTGTGAGTCGCTGCATGTGGCTATTTGACACTGAAGAGGACCTTATAGATGAGTATCAGACTAATGGAGTTGAATTGGACTGTGCTGGGATGCTTTGTTGATATATAATTATGTCTTTATAGGAAGAATTTTCTTATAAACAGATGAATGTCACTGAATGTGTTTCTCTAGACAACCTGGCTTAACATATCACCTCTCTTGCCTTTTCTCCATTTTAAAGCTGTATATATTCCAGCTCCTATTAGACCTCTCGCAAGTCACTAAACAGAGCCAAATGCCTATACATAACCAACAGGTAACAAAGCATTAA